ACTCAAGAGAAAATTTGGGAAATTCTCTAAGGGGTAGGGGCAATTTTGGGACTCTCAGTTGTTCTGTTGTGTTCTCAGCCCCTATGCCATAGGGAGGCCAGAACCCAACACTCTGGCAGTCTGCTGAGATCTCTGCTGCTGCACTGATAGAGGTCAGAGCCTACCCTCTCAGGCTATCTGATAGGATGTCAGCCTTAGCCTACCAAAGGCAGATCTGCCCTGGGGCCTTGGGAGGGGCCTCACCAAATCCTAGGTAGGGGGATGGGTATGGTGCAATTAGGGGAAGTTCACCACCACATGGAGGCAGGATCCAGGTACTCTCAGGCAGTCCCAAGCATTCTCAGCCCCTATGCCAGAGGGAGGCCAGAGCCTGGCACTCTCTGGCAGTCTGCTGAGATCACACCCACTACTGATGGGAGGTTGGAGCCCACTCTCTCAGGCTGTCTGTGAGGATCTCAGCCTTAGCCTACCAAAGCCTGGTCTTCTCTCAGATAAGATTTTCTTTTCTTTTTTTTTTTTTTTGTTTTTTTGAGACGGGGTCTTCCTGTAGCCCCAGCTGTCCTGGAACTCACTATGTAGACCAGACTGGCCTTGAACTCACAGAGATCCGCTTGCCTCTGATTCCCAAGTGCTGGGATTAAAGGCGTGCGCCACCACACCCGGCTAAGATTTTCTTATTTTATAGAAGAAATGCATCTTTAAAAGTTCAGAAAATTGAAGTATAAAAAAGAAACCCATTATTCTATAATTTAGAGACAAATATTAATACTCTGTTGTGTTTCATTCTAATCTTTTAAAAGTACATAAAATTGTTTTAACATACTCTAGATTAGGTTTAACAAATAGTTTTATATCCTGTTTTTAAAGATATATAATAAGGCTGTTGAGACAGGTCAATGGATAAGGGCATCTGCCACTATGCCTGGTGATTTGAGTTCTATCCCTAGGACCTATATGATGGAAGCAAAGAACTGACTCCAGCAAGTTATCCTCAGACTTCCACTTGTGAAAAATGGCATGTGTGCACCCACACCCATATGCATGCACATTACAAATAAATAACTATAATAAAATTTAAAGATTATATAATAAAGATTTGGGAACTGGAGAAATGGCTCTGCAGTTAAGAGCGTTTGCTCTTCTTCCAGAGGACCTGAATTTAGTTCCCAGCACCCTGTCAGGCAGCTCACAACCACCTGTAACTCCAGCTTCAGTGGATCTGATGCCTTCTCCTGGCCTCTGTGGGTACTCCCACACATGTGGCATCCACTTACACAGATACATACACATAAATAAAAAAATAAATCTTAAAAAAATTCTGATAAACATTTTCCTGTCATTAAATTATTAACATTGTCTTTAACTTTGAATAGTGCCTAAATTGGTGATAGTCTTTGTCACAATGACAACATAATTAGGAATTTTTATTTTTTATTTTTTTGGTAGTTTTGAGACAGGGTCTCCCTGTAGCCCCAACTGGCCTGGAACTCACTATATAGACCAGGCTAGTCTTGAACTCACAGAGATCCACCTGCCTCTGCCTCTCAAGTGCTGGGGTTAAAGGCATGCGCCACCATCCAGCCAGGAATTTTTTATGCAGAGTTTATATTATCCATTTTGGAAAAACTAAGATTTTTGACAACATAGCCAGTGTTTCCATTACAAAAGAACATTAAACTTTTCACTCCTTAAAAAATAGTTTCAGCTGGGCGTGGTGGCTCACGCCTTTAATCCCAGCACTAGGGAGGCAGAGGCAGGCAGATCTCTGTGCGTTCAAAGCCAGCCTGGTCTACATAGTGAGTTCCAGGACAGCTGGGGCTACAAGAAGACCTCAAAAAAAAAAAAAAAAAAAAAAAAAAAAAAAAAAAAAAGTTTTAGGATCAATTTTTCAAATCAATAGTTTTTTTTAAAAGATGTTTTAAAAACATTCTTACTGTGGTACTCCAATACAGGAAGTATTTGGAAACTATGTTGACAGGTTGTTGATTTTGCATATACCAGTAATTAATTCTTGATAAAGTCGTCTCCTTTCATGAGTCATTTGAATCCTTTGGTTCTGAATTTGCCAATGTTCTTAACTGCTGAGCCATCTCTCCAGCCCCAGACTGAACAATTTTTTTTTTTTTTTTAGTTTTAGGCTCACAGCAACATTGATCAGGAAAATTCCCACATGCCTTCCTCCTCACTATCAGTGCACCACAGTGGAGCAGTGTATTTGTTACAATCAGCGAACTCAGATCAATACATCATTCTTCTTCCAAATCCATAGTTTATGTTAGGGTTTACTCTGTGTGCTGTATGTTCTGTGGGTTTTGATAAACATTGAAACACGTTGTCATCATTATAACGTCAAGAATAATTTCACTGTCAAAATCCTCTGTGCTCCACCTGTTCGTCTTCTTCCCAGATTCTGATCTTTTTACTATGTCTATAGGTTTGCCTTTTCCCTAATCTCATGTAGTTGGGATTATGCAATAGGCAGGTTTTTTCAGATTGGTTCTTTTCACTTAGTGATATGTATTTGCAGTTTTTACATGTATTTTGATAGCTTATCTTTTTGACACAGGTTAACATTCCATTGTCTGGATTATCACAGACAATGTGTTCTACTTAAAAGCATCCTGATTACCTCCAAATTCTGGCATTGTGAACAAACCTGTTATAAACATATATATGCAGGTTTTGTGTGTACATACATTTTTAATTCATTTGGATAAACCTTTATTTCTCATTGGAGAGTCCTTAATATTCTTTTAAATAAACTCAGAAATATTGTGTCACTGATAATTCTCAAAACTTGAATTGATAAATATCATATGTAGGTGGTGTTATACTGCAAGAGGTAGATGCATTTTCTGAAGGGTAAAAGTTTTCTTTCTGACATTTTCCCCCTGGGGTGCAGATTTAAATCTGATAATTGATGAGCATCTGAGTCATGTCTAATATACTCAAATGATTCCTTTCCTATCTTGAAAAGAAGGGTGAGATATTATGTTAGTTGTGCTGTGTTGATCTGAAAATAATGTAATTTGGACTTTTGCCCATCAGATACTGGACTTTTACAAGTGACATCAAATGGATATAAAATGAAAAACAGTTTTGGAGTCTGGCCCAGCTGTTGGCTGCTTATGGAAGATGATTCATCTTGTTTTCTATATTTTTGTCCTCCCTTTTTTTGGAGAATGCAAATAAAATAAATTAGAGCAATGTATAAATTAGAAGCCTGATATGAATTACAAGATCTGGTTCATCACTTCTAGTATTTTTAGTATTTGATTGTTTCTAGATGTTTTGTTTCTGTGCAACTAAAAATGTATTTTATATTAAATGTCTCATTGAACTGTTTTAAATTTAACGTTGTTTCTTTATGCCAGGCCCACCTATTTAAGCCATGTTTCAAGAGAATCTATAAATGTAATATATATAAGTATTTGATAACTCTTCAGTTCATTATTGACATTTGGGAGAATTTAGTTTCTCTCTTGAAATTACCATTTTGTAACAAATGATGTTTAACTGATTGTGATTAGTGATGTGTATATGTACTGTTATTTTTTTCAGTGTTTTCCTCTGTCACTCCAACTCTTAAAAATTTTTAATGGCCCTCACTGTCAAAAAGAAAATTTATTTCTGCTGGGCCTGGCAACACAGGCCTGTAACCCCAGCATTTAGAAGGCAGAGGCAGGAGGATTGTGAGTTTGAGGCCAGTCTAGATAGAGAACAAGTAAGACTTTGTCTCAAAAAAATAAAAACAAAAAAGAAAATTGTCTTTCTGTCCAAAAATTCTTCAGAAAAAGTTTTCCATTCATTTAAACATTAAGTTTTAAAAGAAGTTATTTAACAGAAATATTTGAAATTTTTCAAAGTACATTTGAACCACAACTTATATACATTTACATTAAATAAAAATACATACATTTACATTAAAGTTATATGTAGGTCTCCCCACAAAATTTTAGGGGCTGCCATTTTTGTATGCATGCAACTTTAGGAAGTAAGGTATAAAGTTCAGTCATTACTTATGTAGAACACTTTTTCTTGTTGGCTAGATTATTGCAGCAATATTTCAGTCAAATTTTTTTAATAAAGCAATATTTGAAAAGTCCAATTTACTTATTTTATTACATTTATTTATTCATTTGTTTTGTGTATCTGTGTTATGGGACACAGATCTGATGGGACAATGGAAGCTGGTTCTCACCTTCCACCATGTGGGTCCTGGGGATCAAACTCAGGCTTGGCAGAAAGCACCTTTACCCACTGACCATCTTGCTGGCCTCCAAACTTATTTTTGTTTTTTATCTTTTTGAGACAGGGCCTCCCTGTAGCCCCAGCTGCCCCAGAACTCACTATGTAGACCAGGCTGGTCTCAGTCTTACAGAGATCCATCTGCTTCTGCCTCCTGAATGCTGGGACTAAAGGCATGTGCCATCATGCCCAGTGCCCAAACTTAATGTTTAAAAGAGCTTTATAGTATTGCTTTTATTATTTTTTAATAAACACAATTATCTGAAGTAAGGAAATCAGGTATCTTTTGGCTGTCTTATAGATGATAGCTAGTGTGATTTGTCCAAGTTCTCTTCAAGGTAAGCTGCAGAACTGTGATTAGAACAGACCTTATGACCCAGCATCTTGCTGCTTTTGTATGTATTTTAATAGTCTTTCACAACATTTCAAAATTTTATTGTGTTGCCTGTTACTAGCAAAGAAGACAAATTGCAAGTTAATTCTTTAGTGTAACTACAAACTAATGGGACTAGAAGACTTTGGGAACTTGGGGAAGAAGTGAGTGATCACCTAGCATGTGTTGTCACTGATAAACTTATGGTGCTAACCAACTTTGATCTTCTAGACAGGACAATTAAAACAATAGTACTGAATGAATGTAAATGAGAGAAGCTAGCAAGACAAGTTCAGAGCCAAAACATTAAGTATTTGTCATGTGGTCCTAGCATGCACAATTGCATCCAGTAAGTGATTCTTTGTACTCTCTTTTACAGATGTTGAAAATTTCCTCTAAGGAGAAATACCCCTTATTTACCTTTGTAAATGGCCATTCCAGAGACTTTGATTTTACATCTACTACAGCCAATGAAGAAGACCTTTTCTCAGAAGATGAAAAGAAAAACTTAAAAAAATTTAGCACAGAAGAGTTTGTCTTACTTTGAGGATTAACGTGCTTGTGCTTAACTGAGAAGAGCTGTTTAAAGTGGGAAAATGAGTAACCAGTATTCTCAAGACTCTTATCACAGACATCCTAACTGAATATGCCCTTTTAAAAAAGAACATTAGAAAACACACTTTAAAGATATTTTTCTGAAAGATAAATTATTTGGTGACTCTTGCTTTCTAATAATAAATAACAAATGATTCTGATTGTATTCCTGTTTCCAAAAGATCTTCTAATGAAACACTACCTTAATTAACTGTAAGCTTTTCAGTCTTCAGAGTCTCCTACCTGTTGGTCCCTTGGAGGTTTTGTGATACAGCCTCCTTCAAAGACTGGTATCCCCAAATTAGTTTTTATATTTTTTCCTTTTTCTTTTTTTCTTTTTCAGACAGGGTCTCCCCATAGCCCCAGCTGACCTGGAACTCACTGTGTAGACCTGGCTTGTCCAGATCTCACAGAGATCTGCCTGCCTCTGCCTCCCAAGTGCTGGGACTAAAGGTGCCGCCACACCCGGCTCACCAAGTTAGTTTTAAAAGCCTCAGTTTACATTAATGACAGGAGACCAGAGAATGAATTCTCAGAACTGTCTAGCCCCCTGCTATTAATGTGATTAGAGGATGCTTTTAATTTTGTATCTGGGTGATTAGATGAACATACAATTATGTAAGCAGGATTTTAAGTTAAGGTAATACTTAGCATTATGATTTTACAATGGCTATTTGTTATGCTTGCTGTCAAGCCTTCTATGAGGAATGAATATAAAGGCTTTTTTTTTTTAAGTACTAGGCATTGAACCTGAGGCCTTGAATGTACTAGGCAAGTGCCATTCCACTGAGCTACACCCAGTCCTAAAGTATTGTTTTTTCCCCCACAGATTTAAAGGTTAAGTTGTCAGTAGCATCTGTATCTACCTTTATGAGGTGAAGGAAAGGCAGAATAATAGTAGCATTTGTTTCCTATGTCAAAAATGAAATTTTATGAGAATTCAACTTATTACTCAGTTTTAAAATCTAAAGATGAATACCAAGGATGCAGATGCTTTCTGGTTTTGCTGTTTGTATAAAACAGTGTAGTAGTATTTAGGAGCTGAGACTATTTACAGGCTTAATATGCCTCAAGTGTGTTATGCATTTCTTAAAGCCAAATTTTGTGATATGAAAACAAAAGAGTTATTACTGAGCCAGGATTATAGAACAAATACTTTAATAAATTGTGAGAGCATAAAATGCTTTTGTTTTGGTTTTAATGTTGGGATTATTTTAATCTTCATTGAAAAATCATTATCTCAAATGAATTCTATTTTTTTATAACAAAGGGAAATAATATTGTTACTCTGAAAGCAAAACATTAGCTATTTTATAGAGCCTCCGTGTTTCAGAGTGAAATGGTGACTTATAAAGACATAAAATTTTGTATCATGTGTAGTCATTGATCTCTTTCATCAAAAAATCCTAATTGTTTAGAGTTGCATGCAAAGCCAAAACAGAGGGTGGGCAGGTTGCTTCAGTGTGTCCCTTGAAAGAAATCAGGTTTGACATTTCCCAGTGAGGATGACTTATTGAATTGAAGTAGTCTAAAATCTAAGTTCTTCCTTTGCCCCAGATAAAACCTGGACAGATTAAGTCCAGGACTAATCTCCTAGACTGTCAAAGTAGTATAAGAAGGAAAAACCAATGAGATTTTATGTGCTGCAGTCCTGTCCTCTGCGTGTTTGTGGTTTACTGTTCCTGCACAGCCCCTGGGTTGAACAGTAAACAGCAAATGGGAGTACCCACACCTCCTGATGGATCAGTATGACTGTAAGTAAGTGCTCCTGGGTAAGAACTGCATAAAAGCTTACATTAGATTATTTCCCCAGCTTATTTAGGGATAATTTTTTAAGGAGAATTTTATGATGAGACAACATTATTCCTGGTCAAGGGAAGATGGGAGGAGACAGCAGCTTGTTTCCATTGAACTGTATTAAAAAAAAAAACAAAACTGTACTTTGAATACTGTATGAGCAAAACAAACACATCCACAGTACAATTGTTCACATGACTAGGAATAAATGTTTAGAATCAGAAGCTATTAGCACAATAATATGCATCTAGAAAGTATTCAATAATGTATAGATGAGATGAATGCATGAGTGAACATTGAGAGTGATGGGTTTGTCTTGATTATTGACTAATTCAGCTTCATTTGAGGACCACCAAAAGTTAAGTTCACCTTCATTGGGAAGGCAGCACCCAAACTACACCTTAGGGTTAGAATAGAAGTACCATGTATCCTGGTCTCAGACTTCAGACTTAATGTTCTAAGAGGCAGGAAGCTCAGTCAGTGAAAGTTGTGGGTGATCTCTTTCAAGGAGAAGATTCAAAGATGGGCATTTTGTTAGAACTGTGATGAGAAAGGGACTTTCCATCTGGACACCAATATTAAGATACTGGATTTTATCATTAACATTTCAGAAATGAATTTTTAAAAGTCTTGGTAGGACTTTTTGATAGCGAGGGTTTCTTTTGCCTCTTCTTTATAAGATTTGACACTTTGGATCCTCTTTGTCAGCATGTTAACCACCAGCAGGCAATTTTGAAGTCATCATTTACTAAATGAATGAATGGAAAGATCCCTTATAATATGAGTATATTCCAAAAAAATTTCCCTGAGGTATTCATTTTTCTGATTTTAGATTAAACCAACCCCATTAAATCTGTATTAGTGAGAAGATAATCTTAGAAGATTAAAAATTTAGATCACTCTGTGTTCTGTTAACCTTGGGATTTAACATTGTTCAATGGCAAACACAAGTTTATGTGCTAATTCTAACTTTTGAGAAATCAAAATTCAAAAAGAAAATGAAAAAAAGTGTCCTACCTGTTTAATCTATCCATTTTGGGTCAGAAATCTACTTTTTAGAGATCTCTAGGCTAATTTCTATTATTCCAGAAAGCACTTTATTTTGGTTAAAGTACACTAACTCAGATTTATTATTCTTTCTACTATAGAGATGTTTCACTTTCATGGTTTATCATAGATTACCTTTGGTAGCTTCTATTTGACATCTAAGTTTTTTTGTTTTTTGTTTTTTTTTTCTTTACTTTTATTGAGACAGAGTCTCACTATGTGACCTTGACTAGTTTGGAATTCACTATGTAGACCAGGCTGGCTTCAAACTCACAGAGATCCATCTGCCTCTGCCTCCTGAGTGCTGGAATTAAAGGAATGCACCACTATGCCTGACCTTAAAAAAAAAAGGATTCTCCAAAACCAGGAAACAAGAGGAAAGGCAGATAATGAAGAATTAATTTACAAAAATCAAATAACTAAATGTATTGTTATTGTAATAGACATGAAGTGAGGAAGAAATGGAATTCAAAATAATGGTGAGAGAGAAGGTAGATAAGAAGAATGCATGGCAGAAGGGCAGGGAGATAGCACAGCAGGTAAGAGCACTTGTGCAGGCATGAAGACCTGCCTTTGAAATACCAGTCCCCATGTAAAAAGCCAGGTGTGGCCCTGTGTGCCTGTAACCCTAGTACTGTCTGGGGTGGAGACAGAAAGATCACTGCGACTTGCTGGCTACCCAGGTAAGCCAAAACAGGAAGCTCCAGGTCTAATGAGAGACCCTGTCTCAAGAGCATAAGACAGAGAGGAGTAAAGCAGGATACTCCCTGTGGTCCTTTGGCCTCTGCACCTGTGTGTATGGACATGCCCACCCCCTTGGACATACACCACACACATATCATCCCCTCCAGCAGTGAGTGCATGGTAAAAGCAGTTTCTTGAAAAGATAAGGTATTGTTTCCCATAAAAAGAAGAGCAGTTTATTTTCTAAAAAATTTTTAGGAGAATAAATATATGATATTGGTAGTAGCCTTGGGATTATCAACCAACCACAGTTTGTTATGGCTATTCACCTGAGCATTTTTACTGAGTGGGCTGGGAAGCTGAGTTGAAAAGGTTAAATATCAGATTAGAAAAAAAAAAAAAAAAGAAACATCCTATTGATTCCTAAATATAAATTTGATACCATTTTACAGTTTGAATCTTGTCACATTAAAATTTTAAGCATTATATGTTTTTCGTAATTATTTAAAGATTTTTTACCTTGCCCATACACTCTGCAAAATATTATGTTTCTATAGTACGTTTAGAAGGTCTGGAAGACACATTTTGAGTTAGCATTTCCCTTTCATTCATTTTTACAGTCTTCCGTGATATGACTGGTGGCAAGCAATGGCCCAAAACACAGTTATACAATCTCACTTATTTTCTCAAAGTGCTAAGAAAAAATATGCTGTGTGGAGAATACATGTTTGCTATTAGGTAGAAAAATTACTTTCTTTACTGTGCTACCCTGTAACTGGTTTCTCTAGGAATTTAAAAACTTAGTTTTCCAAGATTTCACCCATGAGTGAGTAATAATAAAAAGTATTCTATAGAGAATTAATTTTCATTTATTTAAATTTGAATTAATAGCTATAAGCATATTTATATTTTATTTAAATTAATAAAAATTGAAAAAGCATGGCTTTTAAAAATTGCTTTTTAAACAGGAAAAGTAAACATAGCTGGAAATCTGAAATCAGAGAACAAAAGGATGAGGATTATTGACAGCAAAACTGACACAAACTGAATAAATAAATGAGTTTAAAGGCTTGCAGGTGGGGATGACAGTAGGTTGGATGTAGGTGCTGGAAGGAAGCGAAGGCTGGCAGCAGCAGCCATGGCTGTGGGCTGTCATATCGAGTGGCCACAGAGGTGCTAGGCTTAGAGAATGCCACTCCCTGACTTGAGCAGTATGGCATCGCCTGCCAGTGGTTACGTACCTCTTGCTTTTTACTTGGTATTGTTCTCATCAGCTTGCTTGTACTGAAACACAGCTAATGCATGAGGGAGATTAAATCTGGGATTAAGAGGACAATTAACATGAGTCCTGAGACAGTGATCCCCTAGTGGTTCAGATTATCAAGAGTTGAATTAGAAGAGAGGGTTTTAATGGGAGATACATATGCATATTTAATTACTTACTAAATACTTTAAATAGGTACCATGGGGAGAAATCCATCTATGCTTTTGCTGAGTTAATGTGTTACTTTCATTTTTCTGCAGGTTCACATTCACATGATCTTGAAGCGTGTCCAGTGGTTGAATTTGGATTTTTGTTTGTTTGGTCTGTTTCATTCTTGATGAAGAGGGTCACCCCTTATTCAACCCTTGTTTTTG